ATATATATATATATATATATATATATATATACTTCCAACTCTTGCTTTTTCATTTCTAATCATCAATCAATAAAATGTGTAGTATTGGGTGGTTGGCAATGAAATATTAAAGAGTGAAAAGATAAAACCCTATGGTTATGATTGTTATTGTGAATGTCATTAGCATATAATAATCTTTAGTAATCAAATCAAAAATAAGAAAGCAGATAAAGATAATAAATATTTTGAAAACCAACGAAAAAATCGATATTCATTGTTTACGATATATAAAACATGAGATCATATATTGTAATTTTTTAATTATCTAATTACAATCTTGAATTATATAGAATTTATCAAAGTGTTTTATAGAGTGTATATACATAAACTCATCACCGATGAATGGATATAATTGTATTTTATATACTTCCAAAATAATTAATAATGTAAACTATAATACTAATATATAAAACCACTTATTGAGTTATGAAAAGATAAAATAAAAAATAAAGATAAAAATATCATTTTACCTCTTTAGAAAGGAGAATTTTGAATTTTTTGAAAATTAATTTTTTTGAAATGTAATTAAGAAAATCCTTCTTGTTTTCTATCCTTTAATTTTTTTAATTTGTTTATTTTTTTCACTTATTTTTCCTCTTCCATCTGGGTGAGTCAAAATCCGGTCCGTGCCACATGTTGGCGGCTGAAGGTCAAAATTGGCTTTGAAGTTTTAACTGCCAAACACTACTAACGCTAACAACGACGGTAAGAACTGAAAACCGCAATGTGATAGTAACTTTTTGGACAAGACAAAGTTCCGTCAAATTTAACCCGCAACTGAGAGAGAAACAGTAAGCCCCACCGGCCATGGGGGCAGCCTTGTTAAGCAGTAGACACCTCCCAAGGTTGTCGTCGCCGTTTCCCCTTTTCCTGTTCCGGTCGGGTTTTGAGAGCCCTCTCGGGTTGGGTTCGCTAGGCGCCGAGAAGAAAGAAAACGGAAAACAGAAAGAAAAAAAAAAATTGCATGTGGATGTAAAGTGGAGGTGGTTCCCCAACCGGCTTATCTTTTTACTCTTCTAAAGGCTTTTCAGCTTCAAACCGTAATATTGTTGCTCAAGAAGCAGGCTTTTTCTAACCTTTTTCTTGACTCTAAACTACACAACAAGCACAAAACCAAATTTTCCAAGCAAAGGGAGCTTCCTTTCTAACCTTTTTGGGTTTTGTACATTAAAAATGTGAAACCAGAGAAAGCTTTCAGGTTCCCCCTTTTTTACTCCTTGCCAACACTGGAAAAATGTTCTTTTCTTCTTCTTCTGTTGAATACTTTTAATGGGGTTTCTTGTTTTTGTCTTGATCTTGGAGAAAGATTGAGTTTTATGACTAATGCAATAATTTAATGCAAAAATTCAAGTTAAAGAATTAAATGTTATGATTGTTTACGAGGTTGAATTTGGTATAAATTGATTGATAAGGAAAGAATTACTAAAGATTCTCTCCCAAGTGGGCGGGTTTTGTTTTCCAGGGAGAGAGCCTCTCTCTCATATATTCGTTATTCTGTTTCTATTTTTGATGTTGGATTCTATGTTTTAGCTTTTGTTTGATGCAGTGAAGAGGGCTGCATTCTTCATGGAACTTGTTTTTAGCAAATGGGTATTTGCATTTTCACTCTGTTGTTGGCTAATCTTTTATGTAGCATTTTCGGGTAAGCTCGAAGCTCCTATTTTTTTTTCTTGGATTCCTTTTGTGTTTCTTGAAAAATGCTCATTGTATTGAAAATCCAACTTGTTGAAATTGTCTTTTAATTTTGTAAGTGGAGGGGTTGCATGGAGATTCTAAAGTGAGAGGGGTGAACTTAGGAGGATGGTTGGTTATTGAAGGTTGGATCAAGCCTTCTCTTTTTGATGGCATTCCCAATGGGGACATGCTTGTGAGTATTAAGCTTTTTGTCTTGGCATAAACTTTTTTGTTTTTTTTTTCCTTAGTTTTTCTATCAGGTCACATGTTTATGGATATTGAAATGTAGGATGGAACACAGGTTCAATTCAAGTCGGTGACATTGCAGAAATATATTTGTGCAGAGAATGGAGGTGGGATGGACGTTTCAGTTAATAGAGATGCTGCATCTTCTTGGGAAACCTTTACAGTAAGATGCCAAACAAAATTTTTGGTCTTTATCTCATAATTTGATCTTGTGTTGTATGTTAAACTTGAGCTTGATTGACTCTTTGGACCTACTAGTTACATTCTTGCAGATATTACAGCAAGTGAAACCTTTATCTATTCTGCTTAGTTAACCAAGTTTTGGTTGGAAGGAACAACAATGAGTAATGCAAAAAGAGAAGATCCAATCTATGTCCGTGAGATGTATTTAGGTAGTTTTCTTCTGGTTAAATATCCAGAGTGAGGTTCTTCATTGCCACATTTTAACACATATGCCTTATCCTAACAAATTGGTTTCTGGGTTCACTTGATCAATAAAAGCCTATTACGGGTTTACAACATTTTGCCTTGCAAAACTTCTAAATTCACCCATTATCCAAAATTTTTTGTTAAAGACTAATTTTCACAAGTTTATATGGAGTAATGAGTCATTGGATTTTTCCTTGGAAAAGGATGGCTCATGGTGGGTATGTGGTAGAAAACTGTAGAATATGAAGTGCGTGGTGTACCTAAAGTAAAGGTGATAAAGGCCATTTCAGTTGTAGTGGCAAATAAGGTTTATCTCATTTCATTTTCTATGTTCTCTATGAAAGTGGGGGAGAGAAATTCTTATCAAATGGATAGTTGTCCCGAGTTACTTGTATCATGTTGTTACTTTTCTTTAAGCATTGTAGAATTTTATTGTCCTCCATCAATTGTGATTAATGCTTGTGAAAACAGTCTTTCTTGTTGTGTTGACTGATATCTCATGCGTCTCATCTTGAGCTGACTTGTGGGGCTTTTAAAAGGTAAATCCTTCTTCTGAAATGAAATCTCTTATCCAACAATTTTCTTTTCATGCAGTTATGGAGAGTTTCTGAATCAGAATTTCAGTTCCGCACCACACAAGGCCAGTTTCTAACATGTTATGGTACTGGATGCTCTGTATCTGCAACAGCAGAATCAGCTTCCACAACTGAAACATTTCAAATTGAAAGAAATAACAATGGTCAAGTACACATCAAAACTAAGAGTGGGACCTATCTCCAGGTATAATACCAAACCCTTCACTTTTGAGTTTACCAAACCATTCAAAGATCACGCATCAGTAATGTTGGTGGCAAATAATAGACTGACATTTTTTTGCCATCTGTCTCTTAAATGATATGGTTAAAATATACAAGCACCCAATATTTCAGTCCCTGCCTGGTTGTCAAGAGCGCTGGTTGAACACTAAAAGATTAAGGTTCACAAATAAATGGCAAGTTGTACTAAAGATTGAGAACTTGTAGTATGGTCAAGAACCTTCAATTGAGGAGAATTTCTGAGATTTTAATTACGTAAAGCAAGTTTCAGTAATTTGTCATTCAGCATGATATTAATGTTTTTATTTGAGCCATGCTTGTTTTATCTGACATTGCATCAGGTTTAATTGTCACATTTGGGAGATTAAGACAAACTTCCCAATTATAATTGTATACAAGAGCATAATAGCTGGTCGCTGGATTATCACTTACCGGATTAATGTGTATTTTCACTTCAGCTTGCAACTATCAAATAGTATCATAACCCAAATGCAAGCAACTGAACCTTCATAAATTTGCTCCATGGCAGTTAAGATTGTCTGAGTGTTCTTTCACTGAATCTCTGGTTTAAATATGATGCCAAACTGTGACGTAGTAAAACTTGATGATTCTTTATATTTTAGGCCACCATAGGGAATTGGCTCACGGCAGATTATCCAGGGACCCCAGGATGGGATGATAATGCAGCCACATTTGAAATGTCAATTGTAGCTAATAACTTGCATGGAGATTATCAGCTAGCAAATGGATATGGACATAACAAGGCAAAACAGGTTCTTGAGGTACCGTAAACAATTTCTCTTCTTTTTTTTTTTTTTGGAGGGGAGCGGGGGTGGACGACAGTTAAAACTTGTTACGTTCATCAATCATTCTGAAGAAGGTCAAGTAGGTTTGATTGCATTTCGTATTATCTTAAACCATTTATCATAAAGATTGCAGAAGTTAAATCTTGAACACCATTTTTCAAACTTTCAACAACATAGTATGATTTCTGTAATCTCTGAACTGTTGAGCAAGAAAAACATTTTCAGCAGATAAGATGAACTGCTCATAAATCAGCAGTTTTTTATTATCCTGCCTTCTTGTTTACATGCATGTTTGAGTGCATATTGTTCTCATTACATTGTTTGTTATCATTTTATTAGGATATTCCCCAGGTGTTGGACTGAAAGCATATCTCCAACAAGAGAATTTTCATAGCTAATTATGACAATCTTTGGCTAATTGTGCATTGGCAGAATAATATTCCATAACTCTGGATAATTGTGGATAAGTGCAAATAACATAATTCACCACTAGGTTTAATTCAATCTTTTATTTTACTAACTTTTTTTTGGGGGGGTGAAACTGCAGAGGCACAGAAACACTTTTATCAATGTAGGAGATTTTGAGTTTCTATTTAGACATGGAATAAATACTGTGAGGATCCCTGTCGGCTGGTGGATTGCTTTTGATCCTAATCCTCCTGCTCCATTCATTGGGGGAACTCTAGAAGCTCTTGATAATGCATTTTCATGGGCACAGTAAGTCTTTATTTCACTTTTCTTTGTAAGACTGCTATGATTTTAGCTCTGCATGTCCTTTGATGAGTATGTGAATATTTCGATGCAGAGCCTATAACATTAAGTGCATAATTGACCTTCATGCTGCCCCTGGCTCCCAAAATGGGATGGAACATAGTGCTAGTCAAGATGGCACAACAGGCTGGCCTACATCTTCAGATTACATTTCACGGACTTTGCATGTTATAGATTTTCTAGCTTCCAGGTAAGTCCTAACAAATTAATGGATTTGCCTTTGAAAGTGATTGTAGCCAGAGTGATGGGGATAAACAAAAAATGTTCTAGTAGTTTAGCGATTTAGATGCCAGTTTGTGAAGGTCATGCAGCAATGCTAAACAAAATTTTATCATCACTGCGTACTGGTGGATTGTAATTTGGAGTTTGGGTGCCTCATGGAATTGCATGTACTGATTTTCTCATTCAATGATATTTGATCACCATATTCACGCCCATCGAACCTGGAAGAGAGAAAGAAAAAAGAAAGTAAGAAATGGTATTTGTATTGATTGACTTCTAGCAAAAAAGAAATGCAAATTAATAGATCTCCCTGTTTTTCTCATTTCATCTCATGTGTAAATGACAACAATGGAGTCCACAATTGGGGTAGTCCTACAACCACCTCAACTTGCTTTCTGTTACACGCTGTTTCTTCCTCCCTTTTTCTCATCATGCTAAGTTTTGGTGTAGCAATCTGTCATACAAATCAAAACCATGACTCATAGAATTCCAAATGTTTTATGGCTTGCTATATTTTTTTATCAAAAGCTGTTCATCTTGTGTAATTTGTTGTACCTAAGATCCCAGCCATGTTAGCATTTGAGAATGTCCTCTCTGTTAAAATTTTCTGTGAAATTACATGTCATTTGATTTGTTGACTCAACAAGATATCAAAGTTTTCTGAAGAATTTCTGTTCATTGCTAGTCAGTCAATATCCTAAGTAGTAAAGTTTGGGCTAACACAATCTTTCCAACTCCAGTGATCTAATCCTTAGCCTTTGAGCTTCTGCAGCTTTGTGGCTTTGTAAAGTTTAATTTGATTGAATCATCTTGTTTGTTGTAGGTATGCAAAACATCCTGTCTTGCTGGGAATAGAGCTATTAAATGAACCATCTGCTGCGTCAGTTCCACTGGATACATTAGTTTCATATTACAAACAGGGCTATGAAATTGTGCGGAAACACTCACCATCAGCTTATGTGGTAATATGCCAAAGAATTGGCAATGCAGATCCACTGGAACTTTATCAGGCTGATATAGGCTCCCACAACATAGTGGTGGATTTGCATTACTATAATCTCTTCGATACTTTCTTTGTTAACAAGAGTGCTATAGATAATATCCAATTCATATACCAGAGCAGGGAGGCTCAACTACAAGCTTTGAATGGTGCAAATGGTCCACTTGTTTTTATTGGTAACTCAAGTTCTATTTTCTTTCTCAACAAAACAGTGTTTGATTTAAAAGATTACATTTTAGAAATCAATGAACTTCTAATCTTGCTGTCAGTCAAAAGGTGTTTCGTAGTTGCTGAACTTTGATATGTGTATGTTTTAATTATGTTACTCTATATGCTGACTTTAGATATGCAATCTACTTAAGATGCAATTCTTACATTTTTATTTGGATTTTGTTTCAGGTGAGTGGGTAAATGAGTGGAACGTTACAAGTGGGTCTCAATCAGACTATCAAGACTTTGGAAGAGCCCAGTTAGAGGTGTATGATGCCGCTTCCTTTGGTTGGGCTTATTGGACACTCAAGAATGACAGAAAGCACTGGGATTTTGAATGGAGCATTGGGAACAATTATCTCCAATTAAGTAATATTCTAAACCTATCTTCACTTTGTTTTCGGAGATGGACATTTAGGGTACTGAAGTCATCCAATTACAGTCAACTCTTCTGTCTCACAACTATAGTCTTGTTTCTTTTTTATCTCTGTTCTGAACGGCATGTGACATATATTTATGCAGGTAATTCACAGAAAGAGAAAATTTTCAACAGCCTTACATGGCTTTTACTTGCGTCGGTCTGGTTCCATCTGTGTCAAATATTTTGAACAATGGAGTTCCTTGAGACCCAGATATGAAGAGGATGATCAAGTGCGGCTTTTTCTTTTCTTTTTCCCCATTTTGAAGGTCTTTGCTACGCCACCATTACATTCATCTCTTCTGTAAAACACCCATTACATTGATTTTGGCAAATATGCAAGCACAATAACATTGGTAGAGCAGAGAATATCCAAAAAAAAAAATGTGGTCAATCCTGTCAAAACAATGGCAATGTATGTACTCTCTCGATAATGTACAAGGAAAAATTTGTTCCTACTTTAGATTCTGTTTCTGTAAGCATTCTTCTCACATCATCTCAGTATGATATCTAAAGCCATTTTTTGTAGACCAAAATGTAAAGTCTCTTGACTACTTGACCTACTGTAAAATACCCTATAAAAAGCACAACCAAAAACCCGAAATATGAGAGTGGCAAGTCAGTGAATCCCATGAAATCTCCAATTACTGAGAATGGTATTGCAATACCAACAGCAGAAATCAGGACTGTTGAACCAATTACAGGCCAAGAAGCAATCTCCATAATCAAGGGAATTTTCTCTGTCCGTATCAAGTGGTAAATCAAGGTCTGCATGAGAAGTCCTTCAACAAACCAGGCGGAACGGAAGAAAGTTTTACTCAACTGACCATCAGAACTGTAATAAAACCAAAGGAACAACAGGGTGGCTACATCACAGAGAGTGCAGACGGGGCCATTCCATAATATAAACATCGGCAAACCTTTCACAGACCATCTTTGAGGGATTTTGACATAATCTTCTTCCATCTTGTCCCACGGAATTGCGATCTGACCCACACTATACAAGAAGTTCTGTGCAAGGAGTTGCGTTGGAGTCAATGGCTCAAATCTGAGGAAGAGAGTTGCTATGAAGAGTGAAAGAACACTCCCTAGGTTAGCAATAACTGACAGTTTTATGTATTTCTTTGTGTTGCCAAAAGTAAGACGACCTTGCTCGACTCCAGCAACGAGCACGTTTAAGTCTTTCTCAAGTAAAATGATGTCAGCCAAGTCTTTTGCAACTGATGCTGCTGAATCAACTGATATTCCTACATTAGCAGCATCCAATGCGAGTGAATCGTTTATTCCATCTCCCAAGAACCCAACAACATGATTACCAACTGTCTGCAAGGACTGTACTACTCTCAGTTTCAGAGAGGGGGTAAGCCGAGCCAGAACTGTAGCCTTTCTAACATTTTCGTGAAAGTCATCCTGGTTGAGTAGCTCCAGGTCTGGTCCTGTAGTTATGTGTGTGGTTCTGATGCCAACTTCCTGGCAAATTCTTATTGCTAGAGACAGTGAATCACCAGTTAATACTTTTGCTTTTACTCCCCTCTCAGCCAACCGCCATAGAGCTTGCTTTGCTGAGTCCTTAGGTGGGTCAAAGAATGTTATCAGACCAAGGAATACCATGTCTGATTCAACACCATCCTCATTGTCCATGCTTTGCTCACTTATTTGCTGCAACATGACATAAAACTGCATTACATTCAAGGCACTTTAAGAATTGTTTTTCTATCATAGGATTGGCTTGGAGGTACCAAATATCCAAATTCCCAAACCTTTCTCCCATAAAGGATGGACTTGGGAGTATCATTCCTAAAAGCTCTGGCCAAACCTGATACTAACGAGCAAATCATGTTTTAAAAGGATGTCAAGTGCTTGGTGACTAGGTGAGCTAATCTAGTTAATGGCATGAAATACTGTTAAATTTGATTACTAAGAAAGGAGAAACTTTTTGAAATTCATGCGCGTAAAAGGTAAAACAGAAAGGGATAGGCGGATAGCAAGAGCATAAAATAAAAAAGAAAATGGTTTAAAGGAGATTTGAACTCACTGTTTGTGGTAGATTCTTTATTGCAACTCCTATAACCCGTAATCCCTCATTGCTTAGTTCTTCCACCACAATTAAAGTCCTATGTTGGTCTTCTGCAGAGAAAGCTGTTATCTCACCCCTATCTACATGCTCCACATAGGAGCAAACTTTCATCACTTCTTCAAGTGCTCCTTTGGTTATCATGAATCTATAGCAGGGTTGGCTATTTCTGCCTTCTGGATTAGATTCTGTTTCCAAAATGACAGATACTCTTCTTCTTATAAAATCAAAAGGGATTTCATCTATCTTTTTCCATTTGGATGGTTGGAACCGGTATCCGTTTGTGTACACAAATGCCAAAATTGCATCATCTAGAGGATATTTCTGATCACTCTTGAAGTAAGAATTCAGGAAGGCAAAACGTAAGACCTTTTCTCTTGGAGAACCCCAGCAATCCAGATGATTAACCATGATTGCACGGTTCATGGTGAGCGTCCCAGTTTTGTCAATACATAGGATATCCCTGCCAAAACAAAAATAAGTAACAACATGTCAAAATAATTGAACTCCAAAATGAAAAACTTGCTGAACCTAGTATGCATAACAACGGAGAGCATGAGCTAGGATTTTTCACATGCTGCAGCATCAAAATGCAAGTGTTTTTATGAAGCCTTTGCAAATGCATTTTTTGAGGTAGATGTCCTATGATTTGAGCAAATTAGATCTATATGTGAAACTCTTGGTTTCAAAAGGGTGGAAGCAAGCAGAGGTCTTTGACCCAGATTTACAGGTGAAAGAATGCTGTCATCCTGTGTAATTAAGCATGCTTCTGAATCCAAAGAATCACCAAATCTCCCTTCTATGTACTATTTCTGATTGTTATGTTATGCAATTTTCCTCTTTGCTTAAATCAAGCATCTCAGTGGAAGAACAACTTGATTTGCTGTGTCAACTTTTTAAGTTCATACTCATTAATAAAGCTGATGCAATACACTTCAAGTAGTAATGGTGTGATTTGATCGTGCAGTTGATGGACTATATATAACTGGCACTGTGCCTTACAAACAATTTGACAAACATACTAATTTTACTGTCAAGTACCAGAATAACTGTCTCTCCGCTTCTCCTCTTTCTTTCACAAATGTACACAAAACTAATAATCCCTTTGCTTCAAGTTTAAGTATTACTTCAGCACCAACATAGAAGTAAGCATTAACTCATTTAACAGTTTTTAAGTTTTTAATCTCTATATTCAGGAACTCACATTGATCCCATGTCTCGTATGGCTGATAAGCTTTTGACTATGCATCTTTCTCTTGCCATTGCAAGTGCTCCCTTTGCAAGACTTGTGTTGATGATGAGCGGAAGCATTTGAGGAGTAAGGGCACATGCAACCGAGATTCCAAAAAGAGTGCTCTCACTTATATCATAAAAATTAAAGTACTCTACCAGAATTATGATTGTGACTACTAGAAGCATCACACCAACAAGCACATAAGATATCTGCCGAATACCCTTCTCAAAACTATCTGCTGGTTTGTGCTTTCCAATAGTCGAAAACATGGTGCTTATGTAGGTCTTGGAGCCAGTGGAGACAACTAGACCAGTTCCAGTACCTGATACGACATTTGTCCCCTGAAATATTAATCACAACGGGTATATACCTCAGTGTATGACGTAGTAAGAATCTATGACTACCTACTGATAGATAACTTGATTATTAGCTAAACTGAAGTTGCCATACTTCTTAGATTCAAATAGTGCAAATGATTAATGGCCAGCCACTGTTCCTGATACTATCATTAACTGAGATACTAAGAGCAACATGTGAGTATTTTCTACATGGGACCATTAAATTCTGTTTGTGTTGCAAAAAGTACTACTACTAGAAGTAACAAATCAAAGAGTGATATTGGAGCAACTATACCTACCATGAAACAGATGTTCTTTAATTCTAGCAGAGGAGTGCTCCTATCTTCTGTCACATCGGCTGTTTTTTCAGTTGACCAAGACTCCCCTGTTAGTGAGGACTGACTGTTCAAGAAGCAAGGATGTAATAAGGCTTTCCATGGTTGACCAGACAGAAAAAGGACATAAAGGGAAATTTCAACCATCACACCAAAAAGGGGAAATGTTGAAGTTGCTATACCTTACAACCAGGTGTTTCGAAGTTAATAGTCTTACATCACCAGGAAACAGGTCCCCAGGCTCAAAAATGACAATGTCTCCTGGAACAACATCTCTTTGGTCCACTTGTACGATTAATTCAGTCTGAACCACCCTCCCTGCACATCTTTGAACTTTAACTGGACTTCTTACAAATTCTGAAAGTTTCATGGCCGCTTTTGAACTACCATATTCCTGGGTGGCATATTGAATATATCGTTAAAAGCCTTTTGAAGCAAAGAAGGATGTAGGACGCTCATTTGAATACTGAGCAAGTAAGAAGTACCTGATAGAATCGAAGGGAGACACTAATAAAAACCAATATAAGCATGATGCATCCATTTGGATTATCACTGGTTATGTATGAGAGTGCTGACAACACAATCAGAATGATGTTGAAAGGATGAAAGAAGGCGTTCCACAGAAGATGCCACCAGCTTGGAAATTTATATTCAAAAGGAACATTTGGGCCATTTTCCTTCAATCTCCTCTCGGCTTCGGTAAAGCTCAAGCCTGCTCAAAAGCGAGAAATGAGCATGTTAACGGCACCCGAAAAAAAAAAAGGTAAACAGATCAAGGAAGTGTGCTACCTAATTAATTATTTCCTCAAAGAAGCTTTTGCGGTTAATATTTGATTTTTACAATAAATTCATCATTGAGTATATATCTCTGTATCACCGATGTAACTTTTTTTTGGTAGGAGTAATTTGCTGCATTAATGCAATTCTTAATTTATCTAAATAGACTGAAAAATCAAAAAGTTTTATCAGTAATCCATCAATCAACAGACAGCATATTTTATAAACATCCTACTAACAACAGGCACTCCATTAACCCAATACTAATCCAATCAATAAAAGCACTAAATCAGAAAAAAATTAACAAGCTAACCTCTTTCTGTGGATCGAACATACTCGAAAACCAAATCCCTTTCTGATCTGGCCAAAGCATATAACCAAGAGTAAACCTTCTCTTCTGCTTCTGTCTTTGAACCCCCATCAATCTTCTCTACATATCTCAAACAAACAACCCAAAAACACAAAAACCTCGTCTCAGAAAACACTTCCTATAAAACCAAACTAAACTATAAAATTAGAACTTAACGGGGGACGACTCACCTCTAGACTGAAAACGCCGGAGAAACCTGAAAACGGAATTCGAAAAGAACCCATCCTGGTCATGATGATTGATATTACTATTAGCATTGCTTACAAGGTTTTGATGAACCGAGTTGGAATAACGGAGGCCGTCAAAGTGGGTTCTAAAACTGAAAAACCTGAAGAATTTGAGGCTTCCCATAGGAGCAAAATGAGGTGGCTTGAATCGAAATGGTCCAAACGGATAGAGAAAATGGGGAGTACAATACCAGAAATAATGAATCCAAAAACAAAATAAAATAAAAAGAGCATGGTTGAAAAAGAAAGAAATCGATAGAGAAGGGGAGGTTGAGGATTTGAAGAGAAGGTAGAAGAGAGAATTAAATATTTTTGTTTTGCTCTTTCAAAAAATCTGTTTTTTTTTTTTCATTTATTTCCCTGGGTTTTTTCTTCAAAGTTCAAAGCTTCAACTACCAAACTTAAATGACCGTTAGGTGCAGTTGCTATAGGAGGGAAATGGGATTGGCAGTCATTCGCCACCTAACTCGGACCGGGTTCATTTTAACATACCGGTTTTCTTTAGGAATATATTGAAAATTCTTTAAATTAGTTATTGAAATGTTTTTTTTGGAAAAAAAAAACCATCATTCTCAACAATAATCACAACACTTGGCCCTCCTATATTTCTTTTAAAAGAAATCAATTATTATTCTATATTAAAATTTTGATAATAAAAATCTTATTTTAATAAAGTTTTATTAATTAATGTCGATTATTAATTATATAATTTTGAAAATGAAAGGGAGGCATATATTGTCACATAAAGAAAAGACCTGTTTTTCTCTAGATTTTTTTATCTATAATAATTAATGTTTTGTACATGAATTGTTTTAGGAATCATTTGTAAAATTAGTATATCTAGGCTTATTAGATCTCCAATTAATAAATTAGTAGCTTTATCTAAATCCCAGCAAGCAATTTTTTCTCAATCCCCAAGTGCTCAATCAAGTAGCAATGATTCCTTTTTCATTTTATTTGTTGCTGATCAAATCATAAAAATCTAGAACTAAGAATAATTAAACATGTTTCATGTGATATCGAATATTCTAACTAACAAATCAAAAACATCTTTTTTTCTATATTATCTTCTGATTAAATTACCAAAAAGCTGTGTGATTATAATTAAACCTAAATAATTAATGACAGATGGCCTAAAATGATAGGTGTTGTCCTACCTCCCTCCCTCCCACCTGACAAAGTCAGAAGATCTGATTATAATATAAAGTTTTAAAAATCATTTCGCATATTAGAAATTGAATATAAGATGAATATATCTGAGTAAGAACTATATACTAAGAGTGTCACGAATATAAATCTTACAAGTAATTTTTTGGTAAGTTATAAATGGGAGGACGGCTCCTTTGAGCTTGCGTTAGTACGTAGTTGTAAGGAGAAAGGAATATAAATATATGCCCTTAATTCGTTTTGAAAAGGGTGAAAAAATAAATTAATTTTCATCAGGAGAATTAAATGGAGGAGTAAGGCATTGGGGAATATATTAAATTTAAGATATCCTAATGTTTTATCAGAATTATATATAATTTTATCATTATTTTTATTTGAAAAAAAGAGATGTGAACACTATTTTTTTTCAATAACGACACAAACGCCAATCATGAAAATTAAATGTTTGAATAGAGGATTATATATAAGGCATGTGAGTTGGACAACAAGATACAGTAGCTTGTCACCTTCCATAAAAATAAATACATTAGCTTGTGATTGGGAAAGGCTAAAGGTGAAGACATAAGGAGAGACAATTAATTTGTATCAAGAAAGACAAGTGTACTTATGTCCTAACGTGTTTAAGCCTAGGTTCCATAATAGTAATAGTTATATTTCAATTAATAATAAATACAAATTACAATTCAAAATAAACTTGAATAAGTAACCTATTACTCGTTCTAGACATCTTAAAAAGCATTATAACACCTAAAATATCTCAACACTAATTAGCTGAACAACAGTATACATGATATCACAAGCTTGGTAGAACGCACAAGCAAAATGGCCAACTCCACTTAGAGCTGGCAATTCATATAATTATCGGTATATAATCAGCTTGTGTAAAAGTAAACTTATATAAATAGATAGATTAATACCAATTAAATACTATTAATTAATCATGTTATACATTTACATGAATTATCATGAAATGATTAATCTATTTAAATATAATTAATTTATTATGAATAATGAGTTATTTTATGTATTTAAATATTAATAATTTAATAAATAAATTTAAACAAGTTAAATATTTATTAATTAATGTAAATTAACTTATTAATACGGTTAATTAAATGTGTTAACATGAGTTATGTGAATTAACTCGTATAAGATACAAATATTTTTGTGACATAAATCGTATTGATAAGTTGTGACAACAATTATAGGAAATCTAACCTTTCTTATCTCTGTATTACCTCTTTAATTATTAATTTAGCCCCACTCTTACCTTGGGTGCATCCATGGCATTGAACATCTAGGTTCTTACCAGAGATCTTTTAAAAACAAACAAATAAAAAGTCGATTACATGATAATTTAATTTTTTTAAAAAAAGAAAAAGAAAAAAAAAAAACTTGTTAAGCTTAAAAGTGAAAAAGGCAGAGACCCAACCAAAATAGTAATAGAAAGGTGATGGACACCAATTCATGATTACAGATCCTCCTTCCATGTGCACATTACTGTATCTACACACAAGCTCTGGAAAAAACGACGCAAGGCATCAACATAACAGCTCATACAACCACATATCATCTCCCATTTTAGAGAAAAAAAAAGCCCCCACCCTGACAATTGGACAAAAATCTCTACCTCACTAAAACTTCAAATATGTGTTCATCTACATGTTCATACAAATATAGTATGGCAAATATTGAGAAAGGACTGTAATCTCAAGTTGTCAGATTTCTATCACAGAAGTCTTTTGTTTTTTCACAGTCTGGATCTCTGCATATGGCATATATATAAACACATACACGAATCATATATTCTTTTGGTGCACTGTTTTTGGTTCAATGAAGCTCATGAAATATAATTCTCAGAGATTAGAATAATAAAGGGTTAAAACAGATTTGGGCAGCTGTCCATTTTAAGCAGCCCATTTTCGGCTGCTAAAAATATTATATACATTATGCTGGTGCTATTCAGAAGTTTGAAAGAAAAAGGAAGAGAAAAAGTTGGATTTTGTTGCGCCTTGCTAAACAATTTAAAAAATAGTGATGATGTAGAGGATGATGTTAGTATGTTTTGTTTTTGGTATGTTGGAAGCGTGAACTGTTCAAAATTCTCATGATCTGCAATGGCATTTTTCCTATGACTTTTACCTGGTTCATATATGCAAGCCTGCATGAGACATGTTGCTCTGTCAATGTTTTATAATTAATCCTTAAGAAATTACCCCCAAGGGGGAAAAAGGGATTTAGTGCAGGTTACTGTTTTTAGGACAGACTGGTTCATCATGGTCTGCCGAATTTGCATACTGAAATCAAGATATATATGATTTGTCGAATGGTCGGGTTATTTGGATATATGCCAAATGGGGACAGCCTTGCCCACAGGGCAATGGTAATATCATTGTTCTTCTGGGAGAGGGAATGCGCTTTCGCTGTCTTGATGTTTACAGCATGTTCTTGACAGACTGAAAATTCCATTCAGAATCATCCATGCTACTGAAACGATATGGTAAAAATGGCATATTAACTAGTTTCATTTTGAAGTAGAGGAGAAAAAAAACACTTCATGGTTAAACCTGATGATCTTTTCCACTTTTGTTATAGTTACAGAAATCTAGTTTCCCTTAAACAGGCCGTACAGATGGTATTGTCACTGCCCCCCAAAACATAGATTTTTCTCAAATACAAAGGCTGTTAAAGCTATGCTAATGATCAGCACAGCTCAAAAAGAAGGGGACGGGCTAAAAACTGGTTACAGTGCAACCACCCACCAGACTTGAAATCAAAAAGTATCTGGGGAAAAACCAGAATCAAGGTCATGGCCTTGACCGGAAAAAGAAAATACTAAGCTCCTGACCAATGTTTCCATCCGGATCAATCAAATGGAATGATTCAGAATGAGATGAACCACGAACTCTATCAAAGTTAGCCCTCAGGTACATAAGTTCATCGTCATGATCGAGTTCCTTTCCACTAATCATTCCAGCACCGACAACAACTGAACCCATTAGCCTTAAAGCATCCATATCAGCTTTCGATGGCCTGCGCTTAAATGCATACCCAACTTTCCTTCCATTACAATACATAGTCCACACTGGCATGGACAAAACTGAGTCTCTATCATTCCCTGAACTGGTACACTCCAGCGCAATCCGGAGGATACCACCTTGCATTTCTCTAGCCAGAACCGCTGTTGGGACTGCAAACTCAAGGAGGAGAATTGGGTTGGTGGACTTTGAGTTTGCTTGAATACAAAAGCTCACTTTTCCCCTGCGATAACCAAAGATGGTACCTGTAATTACACTAGGAGTACAGACAGGTTGTGGATAATAGCTGTGAAGGTAATTTTCATGTTTGATCTCATGGTCTTCGACGAAGGTGCGGTTGCAGCTTGGAATGAGGAGTTCCATGAGGGAACGAAGAAGCCGCCATGAACGGACTTGTTTCTGGCAGTCAACTGAAGTGACACCGTTGCTTATGTGGGCGGTGGCACCAATTGTTGGACAGGACATGTTTGCCTTATGTCAAATATGGGAGGCTAGCTTGTGGGTTGTTGCCAACGGGATCAGCCTTATATAGCAATTGGGATTTATCCTTTTAACCTGTTCTGTTGGTTGGTAGTGCCCAAATAGACTTTTTATTTTCAACAAAAAAAGAAAGAAAACTCTTTTATTACTTTTATATTATTATAGAGACATTTAAATCTTAGGCTTATATTTTTTAATCATATGTGTTCATATTAAACAAGTGTCAAATGTGTCAACTACCCAAAGTTACAGGTTTAGGTTTGGGGCATCACAAATTAGACCATTGCTTTGTTACATATGAAGTTTTGTTATTTTATTCAAAAGAAATTTGATAGAGAAAGAGACATAACATTTTATTATAACAGGTACAACAGAATAGACAAATTATGAAAGGATATAAATACACATTATTCAACTTGGCATTGCGGATAAGACATTCCTAGATAAATTTATTTGTTAACTTAAAATTATTTATTTTTACTGATTATAGATTCTTAGGTCTTTTAGTTAGACAATTTCAGCAATTTAGATAAACATTTGCTCCATATCCGGCTTCTATTCACATTAATATCGTCATCTCTATTTTCAATCTCCACGTTTCCTATGTCAAAATTTATGAGTGAATTAACTAATCAGTAAAATATATGAAAAATTTATCTAGATAAAAAGGTAAACTCATTCAAATCACTATCATAATATATAATACTATCTTATTTGACTAAATATTTATTTTAATATTTAATATTATTCAAATTTTTATTTAAAAATTCAACCAGTTATTTCATTCAAATTAAGATACAACATTTTTTATTTTATTCATTTTAAGAAAAATTAACTATATTTACTAACTTTTCTTTAAATGAAAAAATCCAAAAAAGTTATCTTAATTTAAATAAAAATAATAAACAAATTTTTATATTAAAAAAATTTAACAATATTTAGGCTATCTTATTTTTACGTTCACATTGAAATTGTATCACACTTTAATTGATCTATTTCTTATTCTAAAGGATATAAAACTTCAAAGAAACACTACCTTTATAGCAAGTCAAAGTTAAAGGAAAGAACTTTTGTTTCTGTTAATTACATGTGTTATGCACTAAACAATATTGGCTCCGACTCTAAGAGGTTTTATTTTATTAAGAAAGAAGGCATCTGGTAAGGCTTTGCACAACAAAAAGAAAGGAATCATGTGAAAAACCAAGGTTCAAAGAGGAAATAAGAATATAAAGAAATGTATCCTACTGAAAACTTCTTTTTGTGAGTGGCTTTTGCCACATTTGAAACACAGTGGATGGAAATAACCTTGTAATGCTTGGACTGCGTCCCTTTTCTTCTTCGATCAACTTGTAAAATTGCAGAAACAAAGGAGAATAATTCAGAGATGTCCGTACGATCAAATAAACTAGCAATCTCCCCACCATCAAATCATTAGAAACCTTTGGATATTGTGCACCATTCAACTTCCAAATAGCCAACCTTCTTTCTGAAGAAAATCCAATTTACAACTGTTAAATTAAGTGTTTTAATGCAAATAAAAGAATAATTTTTGTGCCTTTTTGCCCTGCTTTTGGACCCTACGTGTGAAAGACCCGACACTTGGATTTTATTTGCCTTGTCTTGTTTCGTATTTGTATATGATGCAGCACATGAAAGATGGAGATGGGGGGGTCTTTTTATCTTGGATGGACCTTGGGCAAAAGGAAGCTCAATTCCTGCAATAGGAGCAAATAAATGGGGTTTGGTTTCTGCTTTATAGCCTGGTTTTCTCCACTCATGTCCTTTGCCTTTTGTTCTTTCCACGTGTTAATTTTCACAAAATGACAAGAGAGAATTATTGGGTTAATTTTTTTCATTTCCTTTAAGTCTTTTAAATCTTAATCTTGCTTCTAAATATATATAATACTATAAATTAAAATAAATATATAATTGGAAGCATATATGATTTGAAGCATGTGGAATTTTTTAAAAAATAATTCTTTAGCTGAAAATGTTCAGTTGTCTACCAAAAACCATGTAAACTTTGGATTATATTATTTTTTAAAAAAAAAACAAGGATAAAGAAAGTAATAAAATTTCACCTAGAAAAGCCATGGAATTTCAAAATCTTAACCATATCCCTAACTAAAAATTGATAGGATAATCAAATTCTAATATTTTTTTTAACAGGGATTGAATTCCATGTGAAAGAAAATTTACAAATATAATGAATCGTATTTCCTTCTCCTTATCTTTTTCAACTTAATACCTTATTCGTAAAGAAAAGTATTCGAAAGTAAAACCCTTTTATTTTTTAGACCATTGCGTTGAATAGTTGTGAATTGTACGATATACAAAACTCCCTTTGAAGGCAATTAATTATCAAAATTCTCTGGTTTTCTAAGAATTGTACAAATGGAATATGCTGAGACAAAACCAAGTGTGCCATCTCAGCGTCTGAGTCATTGCTCCAAGTATCATGCCACTTTTGTTGTTTTAATTTGAAGAACATGATACAATAATAGTACTCAAAACCTAAAAAGTCTAGAAAATCGAAAAAGAACATATAAAATATTGTATGAATGATAATACAGTAAAGACATTGCTGAAGTACAAAGAAAAAAAAAAGGGGCCCCAGGGGATCCCAATTGTTTTTTAAGCAACCAATTAAAAGGAGAAAATAAAATTTTCAAGATTTGAGGCTTATTGAGTGGGGGATTCTGTAAGTGTGAAGGGGCCAGGCTCTGCCCCACCACTTGGGCTTTGTGGATTTGTATTCCGAGGTACAGAAGCCACACCCTGTGTGTAATGGGCTTTTGTTTTGCGGTCATATAACCTCATATGCCTGGCCCAAAGGTACCTCCGCGTTTTTAGTACAAATCAAGCTCTGTGACATTTTTTCTTGAACATTTATTGATTTCGAAAAAAAAATATTAATGAAAAGTGATAAATTATGTTAGGTATGATATATATTTGATAACCATTCCATCAAAATTAAAGTGAAATTTGTTGAATAGAAATGCCTTTTTTTAAAAAAAATTTGTTCACATGAACAACATATAAAAGTTTAACTACTACACGTGTATTAATTTCAACACCAATTCAATCACACAAATAAAGTAATCAAACTTTTGTTTTACTTCATATAATTACTCTAACAATCACAATCATAAGCTCACACTATTTAAGCTAAGCCAAAAATGATCATTGAAATGTCAATCTAATCAAAATTCACAATGTACACTTTTATCACTAGAACGAGGCAAAATTACTTCTAGATAAGATTTATTCAAATTGAAAAAAATTAATGAAATTAAATTAGCTAGATATTCCATCATTACATTCAATTATTTTTACTTATTTATTTAATATATGAAAAAATTAAGAAAATAATGAGTCTAAATAAAGATAAAATGATAGAATTAATATTCAAATAAAGTAATATTAAAAAATAAATCATAAAATGTGAAACAGAATAGAATAGCTCTTTTATTGTAAAAGGTACAAATGATATTTTACCACAACAATGCAAAAAACAAAAAAAACAAAAACAAAGAGGAGATAGAAAAAACTGATGCAAAAGAGTATGAAAGAATGGTGAAGAAACCAAAAGCAGACACTGTTCTTACAAAGTGCTGCATCCATCAGTTTTCAATAGAAAACAGGGAGACACCATTGGCACCACAAAATGGGTCATATTACAAAAAGGTCAAACTACTCGACCAGAAGTTAGGAAAAAGAAAAGTCAATATCCCGGTCAAGGACCATAACAAAACCAATTAATTCCCCAATTAAGAAAAAGTCATTCATTTCCGTAATTAAAACCATTTCCAATAACAAACACATAGCATTCAAGGACATTAACCTTAGACCTGCTCCAAACATCAAATTACCATCTAATTCACCTCAACTTTACACCTCCATATTTCCCACATTAAACCCTTAACACACAAAATAAATACAAACCTAAAGCAAGTATATCTAAGCCCTCTCGCCCCTAATCCTACGAGCCAACTGGATATCCTTAGGCATAATAGTAACCCTCTTAGCGTGAATGGCACACAGATTGGTATCTTCGAAGAGACCCACCAAGTAAGCTTCAGCCGCCTCCTGAAGAGCCGCAACGGCGCTGCTTTGGAACCTCAGATCGGTCTTGAAATCCTGGGCAATTTCCCTCACCAGCCTCTGGAATGGGAGTTTCCTGATCAGGAGTTCGGTACTCTTTTGGTACTTTCGGATTTCACGCAAGGCCACGGTTCCTGGCCTGAACCTATGTGGCTTCTTGACTCCGCCTGTGGCTGGGGCTGATTTTCTAGCGGCTTTGGTGGCCAATTGCTTCCTTGGTGCTTTGCCTCCAGTGGATTTTCTGGCGGTTTGCTTAGTACGAGCCATTTGGGAAGTGAAAAGTGGAACGGAGATTTAGTGACTTGCTGTTTGCCTCTTGAGATAATGAGAGAAGATTTTGGATGCGGAGTTTGGGTGGAGATTTAGGCGGTTTTATATAGAGGAGCTTAGTAGCGTGGGAGATTCGAAAATTTGGAAATTTTGAAGTGGAGGGAGGATCTTTCTCTTTTTTTTTCTTTGATCGTACGGTGGAAAGAAGGAATGCCGTGGATTGTAATCCGCGTGAAATGGAAAGGACCAATAGGATTTGTTTGTTTGGGCGCTAAATATCTTCGTTTCACGCCCGCTTGTGGAAAGTTTGGAGGGTTTGGATCTTTGAAATCTTTGAAATAAAATTTTGCCGTGTCTGGTGTTGTGCGCGAAAAAGGTTGTCGCTTTGAAAGCTACTTTCATTAAGCTTCGAAAGCCAAGGTTATAATAAACTGAAAGCCTAAAAAAGCATATATAGTTACTTCTATAAATTAATATCCAAGAGATCATAAAAACTTATTTATTAATTAAGATATTATTTAATTAATAATTTATTAATTTATATATCAATTAAGATGATAGTTTTGTATTGAAGTATATTTCATATAAAGATTAATTCAAAATGATAATCACATTGCATAATTTTATTTTATAATTTAAGAAAACTACATTAG